CGGTTGAGTCAACTGCAGCTGCGCACAGTTCCATTTCCGTCTCCGCCCCTGAGAMCCTGTAGCACAACCTGTCATGGCGACCGAGCTGTTAGGTTTGTGCGCTCGCCGCCTTTTGGCGGCAGCAGCGATACGAGGGCTCCCCGCTGCCCGCGTTCGCTGGGAATCCAGCTCCTCAAGGGCTGTGGTCGCTCYGTCTGCTGTGGCGGGAAAGCGGCCGCTGGAACCGACCATGCGCTGGCAGGAGGACCCAGAACCCGAGGACGAGAACCTCTATGAGAAGGTGAGAGGGAGGAGGAACGGGACGCCGGAGGGGTCAATCAGGGACCCGAGGACCGGGAGTTGTAGAGGACGTTCTTAGGTGCTGAGAATTGCTCAGCCGGCAAAATCTTTGAAGACTTGGGAATTTTGCCTAGTTTGTTTTCGTCCTTTGTGCCCTGATATCTTCGGTCCAGGGCCAGAGGCTGGATTGACCTTATTTTGGAAACAGAAATTAAACCTGAAGTGCGGAGCGCTCAGGCACGTTTGAAAAAAATAGAATCACGTTAATACTAAACAGTGACAGGGCACTTGCCTGGTGTCCCTCCCTGTTTTAAACATTTTATATACATTAACTCATTTAGTCTGCAAAACAACCCGATTTTAAGGTAGGGACTCTCTTCTACAGATGAAGAAACTGAAGCACAGAGATGCGAAATTTCTTGCCCAAGCTCACATAACTGAATACATGTGGAACTGGTATTTGAACTTAGAGCTACCAGGTCTCCTGTGCCGTGTCAATAGCAGAGGCTCTGGACTCAGACAGCTCAAGTTGGAATCCAAGCACTAACAGTTATCTGTGTGACCTTGGGCAAGTAGCTTAAACCCTTGGTGCCTCAATTTCTTTATAGAATAGGAAAAGGAATAGGACACCTTAAAAAAAAACCAATCTGTTCTCATGTAATTAAATGAATCAAAAATGGCCAAAACAGCAACTGGCACTTTGAAAGTACTCAACCTTAAAAGGTGTTCATTACTGCCACTTTCTACCTCTAAGATGTTGTGAGGTTTGCATATTTGAAAAGACCTGGCACATACTAAGTATTTCATCAACACTTATCTCTGGTTGAGGATATTGGATATATAGGATGCTGTAGGGTAAGTACATGGAGAGTAACTAGGGTGCAGAGTGCTATTTTATTAGGTTGAACCATAAGAGCTTGTCAGTATTCAACCATTTTTTTAACCTATAAAAATAGCAGTTTTCTGTGGTTCCTATGTTATCTATTAACAAGGTGACTAGGGGATACCTCCTAAAGGAATTGGTGGAGCCAACTCTTCATTTGGCAATGAAATCAAAACCTTGAATGAGGAGATGGATCCAGCCATGATTAGATCTGGGAGAAAGGCTTTCTAGGCAGAGGAAACAACAGCAAGTGCAAAATCTGTGTGATGGGAAGGAACTTAACATATCCTAAAGATAGAGAAGTTAGTGAGGGAGGAGATGGATCTGAGGGAAGATTAGAGATCAGGTTATACAGGGCCAGCATACAGCTTTATGGCGCAAGGGAAGCCCTCACTCACCTCTCCTTTTTCACAGAACCCAGACTCTCATGGTTACGACAAGGACCCTGTTGTGGACCTCTGGAACATGCGGGTTATCTTCTTCTTTGGTGTCTCAATTGTCCTGGTC